AAACCCCACCAAAAAAAATTATAAGAAAAAAAAAATCTTATAATTTTTTTGGGAGCAAAACCCCACCAAAAACGTTATAAGAACAAAAACATCCTTATAATTTTTTGGGAGCAAGACCCCACCAAAAAAAGTATAAGAAAACAACTATTTTCTTATAATGTTTTTTGGGAGCAAAATCCCACCAAAAAAAATGGTTGTGTGGCTAACTTTGGGTCCTCAAGAATCTAAAAGAAATTGCGCCTGCGGCGAGCAAATCCTTTAATTCCAAATATATTTAGAGACTTCAGAATTGTCACCAAAAAATATGCGCCTGCGGCGGGCAAAGTCTAAGGACATTGAAAAGAAATCCGCCTGCGGCGGGCAAATCCTGAAGTTCCTAACTTGAAGGAACGTTAGACTTAAGAATGACTTACGTAAGATTTTAAAAAGTATGCGCCTGCGGCGGGCAAATTCTTAATATCGTATATAAGTTCTGAATTTTTGTTGTATGTTTTTGTGTGGAGCTTTGCTCTCAGCAAAAATATGTGAACAAGTAATATTCATTCTTCGGAGTGTTGCTCCATCTTTTTGCTATATACTATTTGTTTTAAACAGTTACGTTTGCTTAGGCTTCTTGACAAACAAAAAAGAATGTGTTCCAGTGTTCCACGTGCAAGTTCCTGCGACCATTGCCGTCAACTCTTCTCCCTGGGTATTTGTAGCAGGGATGCTGCAAAGCTGCGTGGTTTGGTTTGGTTGCAAAAAAAGAGCACACAGCCCGCCCCAGGCAATACTTGTCAGGACAAATGGACAAACAGGAGATTGGATTGAGTGACGTTTTTTCAACAAAAGTCAATTCGGCAAACGTTTCACCAATTCCTAAATTATGTCCTTTTCTGACACTTTTTCACATTTGCATATTTGTGTTGTTTGCTTGTGCCCCCCGTCACCTGAGCAAACAAGTCATGAAGGAAAATGGCCTCAGAATGTCTGATTGAAGGAACCAGCTGCAAAAACCCTCCTAGTCCAAAAAAGCAAGTGGTTAACACTTCCTCACACTCTCAAGAAGATATATATATTTTTTTTTTTAACTCGGCAGGGGTTGTGAAAATTCATACATGGAATCTCCCTTTACTTAGCTCCTGAGGCCAATGATTATGATTCATTAGCTGATATGGCTTTCTCTAGGCTTCTTCAAAACTGACAGCTGACCAAAACCACCTACAGCAAAGCACCTGAGAAACAATTACAAAGCACCTGAGAAAGGAAGCTGAATACAATCTATGAAAGGAAAATGAATACTACAATCAATTACAAAAGATCCCTCACCAGGAATCCAGATTTGTTTTGGTGATAGTTTATTATAGAGGACGCCCTGTTTGTTTGAGGGAGGGGCGGGGGGGCCTATTTACTAATCAGGCGCCAACATTATATTGATTGGAAGTATCCTCCCTCATCAGGCGGCAAAACAGCGGAAGCAAGCGAACCAGGCGGCTTCCTACACGAAGTCTTTGGCAGAATTGTGGGGCCAGGGCTGAGGTACAACCTGTGCCCACCGTCCAGCATTTGTGGGATGAATGCGGTCCTGCTCTCCTACATCTTTGCCATTGAATGTACAGACCAGCATCGGCGGACACGTGTGTTGTTGCTGTCAATGTTATATACGTTCAATTCATATATGTGTTTGTTTTTGATACTATGTACCATGCACCATGGAATTGCCTTGAGGCTGGTTTCAATCCTTAGCCACACAGAAGAGAAACCCAGAAGCTGCTCAAGATAGCAGCAGCGGAGTTGAAGAACACATCAGCTGAATCGTCTGAAGCAGTTCTGAATTTTGCAACCTCTTCTCCTCTGCTCACCTTTCCCAAATCTTATATGTTCCATATATAAATGTCTCACCAATATAAGCCCTATAATACAGGTAGTGAACATGTGCAATCTGTTTTTGGCCGCTCAGGGTGCCGGATATGCTGGGCACCCTGGGGGGCATCGCCAACATCATGGAAAAGAACCGAGGGACAAATAAACAGTGAGTGGAGTGGAGTGGAGTGGAGGGACAGTGAGTAAGTAAAAAGTGAGGGTACAGCAGCAGTGTCGGTGAGAGTGAATCGAGTGAGAGTGGAAGTGGGACTGAGTGTGAGAGGAAGAGTGAGAGAAAGGACACAAAAAAAATAGCGAACAACAAGTCTCATGGCCGAAGAATGCTGTGGACTTCCTTCTCCTCCAGGCTCCGGGCCCGGCGAGGAAGAAGTTGCCTTGTAAGTGCCTCCAGGGACCCGCCAAGGGTGCCATAGCGTACGTACATACGCAATGGTATGTATAAATAGATAACAAATAAATAAATCGTCTTTTTGTTTCGGTATCAAGCATGTTGCGACATTTCGGACAGCAAGTCCTACTGTAATACTTAACTTTAACCGGTGCTTGCTTCCAAGCCAGGTTGCCTGGCAAGCGTTCTTCCACACACATCTACATGCGCTAGTTGACCCACAATGATGAAGAGAAGCAAACTTATCATGGTTTAGAAGTGCCTGGTTTTTGCTAATCCCCAAGTCTGGATTTGTCATCCCTCATTGGCAATCTCTCCCCTCTTGCTCCCTCCCCCTCTTCCTCCTCCCCCTCTTGCTTTCATAATGAACATTTTTCACCTTGGGGCTGGGTGCGCTTGCAGACCTACCACTGCACTGCTTACAAACCCATGTGCAATATGAGGTTTTAAATTGTTGTGGGTGCGGAACAGATTGGTGTCGGCTCATGTCGGCTCCCAGCACTCTGCCTGGCTCCGTTGTGGATGGGCCACTGCTCAGGTGCTTGCAAAGCCACAGCGCGGCAGCCCTGTGGAAAACTGGGAAGACATCAGTACCCAGTAGCACCCGGTACAGTACCCCTCCAACTTTCCTCCATGTGCCTCCAGAATCTTCAGAATATCCAACATGAAAGGCAAGAGGCGCCAAGGAACAAAAATTGTGATGGTGGAATGATCGGAACGATCTTGCCTTCTTGTGGACTATGTAAGGTCAACGGATTCCAAGCCCTTTAGCATTCATCAGCCTGACCTAAAAAGAATAAACATAAACACACCCGCCAGCTGTCTACACAGCGATCGGCAGTTCTTAGAGGTGACGCCCGGCCCCATGAGACAAACACGTTCGGAAGACTCCCTGAAGCATGTGAGGTCCTTGCTCTCCAAGTCAAGCACCCAGCAAGAGATGCCTAGCCAGGTGAGAAATCCCCCAGAGTTTAACTGACAGAGCTAGAGCTAGACTTCAAATGCACACTGGCCGCACCCATCCACACAAGCACAAGAACACGCAACCAAACTCAGTTTTTTGCGCATCCTCACACAGGGAGTGCCCTGCTGAATGTCAAAGGCATTCAAAATGTGCAGTGCGTGTGCATCTTCTCCCGTGGAGCTGACTGACTTGAGCTTAGCCAAACAAACAGTCCACAGGAAATGCTCCCCTGACAAGCAGAAAGGAAAGTGCAAAGGTGCTTTGTCTGGGATTGCCTTTAGTGGTGCAAGAGCTGTGAGACGCCTTGCAGGTCTTGAGGAGATCGAAACTTTAAACATCTTTAAACCTAATTATATACCACTCCCCAGTTTGCATTGGCTTCAGCCCGCCGTCTTCGTCACTTCCCCCCGGACCGGTTTAAGGATTATATAATGATTTGTGATTTATGAATCCACATGTTCATGCTTCCCCCTCGTGATTGGATTCCTGGCGTGCTGAGCTCAAAAGCTTAAACAGTTTGGCGCCGTAGGTTCTCAAAAAGAAGCTACGCAGCCTCAAACGCAAACACTCAAAAAAAAAAACATCGTTATGATCTACGAGCTCAACTCAGTAGCTGATGTTGTGAGAAAGCCCGGTGAAGCGTCCAATATCTTGTTCCTAGAACATGGGGAGGGAACGTGTTCGCTTCAAAGATCCATCCTCACAATCCTCAGCAACCTCAATGAAGGTGTTCTTGATCAGGACCTGCACGTGTTCCACCTTGGGGAGCTCCCGCAAGTAAGAAGAGACGCTTTGGGCGACACTTGTGATGCCTTTGAGGCTGCTGATCGGCGACATCTCGGTCTCGCTCTGAAGCGACGTCCCGCGGCTGAAGGGGACCGACAAGGAATCCACTCCCTCACAGGTGGATTGTCGGCTGAAAGATGCAGAGCAGCTTGCAATACTGCCCTTAGGCGAGTCTTTTGGGCAAGACTTCATGATCAGGTCCAATGCAGCCTGCTCATGCAACGATTTCTGGAGCATAATCTTCTTGACCTCAAGAGCTCGTTCCTCATTGCCTTTCAGCTCATTGGCTGGTTTGCTCCGCGCTGCCTTTGGCCGACCGATCTTGGCCGCAGAGCCAGGGCGAAGCTCATCTTTGCTGTGCGCGAACTTGCATTCACTGCCTTCGGCGCAGCTCCCTATCTCAATGAAGTTGGCACACAGCCGCGTCTTGGAGAAGTCAGGTTGTTCTCGCAGCTTGTCTTGCCCATGGGCGAAGGAGCAAGCAGTGCCCCGTGTGCAGGCACCAATTGCAAAGAATCTGCATAAACGGGTCTGCTTGTGGACTTGGAGGCGCTTTACCTCTTTAGCGTTTGCACCGGCAACGAAGCTGGTAGCCATGGGTCTCGTTGCCTTCACGACGCTATAGGCCGGGCGTGGCACTCCAGGTATCTCTCAAACTTGTCACATGAGCAAAATATACAATTGAGAAAGAGAGAGATGTATATACAGTATATCAAAAAATACAACATTATATAATATTATATACTCAAATAATACATATCAACGTACACACTGGCAAGAACACATCCCAATCGCTTTAACAACCGTTGATGCCACGTGCACTTGGACTCATTTACATTTTTGTCACTGGCCTCTCGATCAAGGTGCTTCAACTGACCTCAACTAGCCATCTTTTGGATGAGCTGCAAAGGCCTGCCTCGCACCCATCTGGGTGCTCTGAATTACCTTTGGTGAACCTGTTTGAGAGCACACTTGAGATAATTAGCTGGGAAACGGAGTGAACACAAAAGTGACTTATATATAAACAGTCTGGATTAGTGCTGATCATTTCAGTCGAGCCAGGCTGTCAGCTCAGTCCCCTTGGAAGGTGGCTGACCAGTTGGACACCTCTCGAAGCACGCTTCACAGCCTCCCGCTCCGAGATGCTTCTCTGGCGATCTCTTCAAAAAATGGCGGGGTCATGTAGCTGCATCTTGAAGATCTTGGACAGTTGCACAAAAGTTGTGGCAAGGAATGGTGAGGAATAATGCCTCTTTGCAAGATTAACAATAGAACGATCATGCGATTTGCAACCACCCGGTGCCAAGTCTTCTGAGAAGACTTGACGACTTCATGCAATTTCTGAATTACCTGCCAGGATCATGCCAGATCTTTGGCAAGCTGTGCAACTGCAGGCATGTTCCTTGAATGTGGTCGAGAATGACAAAACGGTTGCAAGCTTGTGCGTCTCTACACCACTCTATTGAAGTTGCTCTGAAGATCGCCGCCTGCTCTACTCGAAACTGCGACTGTATTATAGTGAATGACAGGCTGGCAAGCGCAACTGCTGCCACACGAACAAACTGGGTGTGAAAACATATGGCATTCTCATGGGCACCTACATGCATCTGTCACAGTGCAGTCATTACGGCAAGCGGTGAGAGCTTTAAGCGTCAATTTGCTGCCGGAAGCTGGGCGCAGTGCTTTGCAATGTCACCAGTGGGTCTTTGGTTAAGTGATGTTACATATTGTTTAGATGAGATAGGACTAGTGCCCAAAAATGAGTTGGGACTTTTGGGCCACTAGTCCTATCTCACATGTGCAAAATGCTGGTGTCTTCCATTGACAAATTGCAATGAGATAGGAGTTGTGGGTTGTGGACATCTATGTTTTGTTTTTCTTGGGAGGGTGGGGGTAGCTGCTGAGGTGCCCTGGCTAGACAATTTCTATTATATCGCAAGTATCATAAACAAAGCAAATCATCAAACCTTGCATACAGCAGCTAGAAAAATGTGCACTCTGCTCGATCACCTGGAGTGATCTCTAGGGATTCTCGATTTGCATGATTTTGCATGGTTTTCTTGATTTCCCTCATGAGATGGGATTTGTGGAAGCTCTAAAAACATGGTTGTACACTGATGAGATAGGACTGGTGGTTGATGACATACATTTTACAAGTACCATCTCATTTGGACATAGTATAAGTGCAAACTTTCTGAACATCATGACCACAAAATTCAGTTTACAAGGGATGGCCTCCGACCTATAATAGCGTGGTTCCCATGGACGGAAAGGGTTGCGACATGGTGCAAAGATGTGCAAAGCCTCCCTCCGCCCAGCTTTGCCTCTAAAAGTGCGGGGCCGAAGCAGTTCGGCGAAATGGGACTGTCACTTCAGCTTCTTCGACTTCAATAAATGTGTTCTTCACCTGCACAGCTGCCCGGTTGGAAAGACTTGAACCAGTCGGTGCAGGTTGAGTGAATGTCTCATCCGACAATCTCTCAGAAGCCACCTTCGTTGAGGAACAGCCGGCACTATGCTCAGCAACTTCCAAAGAGGTCTGCCGACTCCACACAGCCGACTCCAAGGTCGTCTGTCGACTCCAAATGGAGCCCAAGTCCTCATCATCCTTTCCAACCTTTCCCACTACCTTTCCCTTGCCCTTTGCAATTCGCTGTGTGGCCCTCATGACTTGAGCTTCGCTTTCGGCCTCCTGTTCCACCGCTCTTCCCGGGCGGCCGATCTTGGCCGCAGAGCCGTGGCGAAGTTTCCGCTTGCCATGTGCGAACTTGCACTTGCGGCCAAGCGCACAACGCCCGAGCTCCACAAAGTCTCCACAGAGCCGCGTCTTGGAGAAGTCGGGCTGTTGGCGTAGTTGATCCATCCCATGTGCAAAAGAACAGTCCTCCCCACGTGTGCATGCACCAGCTGCGAAGAACTTGCACAAACGGGTCTTCTTGTGCACCAAGAGGCGCTTCGCATCTGCATCACTTGGCTCGTCCACGGCCGTCATCGCAGAACTCCCCGCACTAAGTTGGGGCCAAAAATCTGAGTCACTGGGCATTTGGGAAGGTTGAATCAATCAGGGCATGCCCAAAGCTCCATCTTATAAAGAAGTGGCGTGAGTGGCAAGCCCCTCAAAGACAAAAACACAATCACGACGACACAAATCCCGTCCATGGAACAGAACCCAAGCCAATGAAAGTTCTTGAGTCTGACTCTCCCGGATGTTTTGCTTTTTTGATCGTGTGAGGCCTTCTGGTCTGGTGATGCACTTCGAATTCAGTGCTAGTGCACTTAGAGACAGGGCCATAACCATTGGCACATGTTTATGTTTGAAGGCTGGATGGCACTGAATGACAAATCGCACGCTGTACAGGGAACATGATGAAAGCAACGAAACTTCAGGGCTGTTGCTTTCTGCAGCCGAACGGAACTGTTGCGTAGCAAGGCTCCGAGGAGACCGGCGGAATTTCGTGAATGTACAGGGTGTTGAGAGAGGCGAACAGAACGGCGGAACTTGGCCCAGTAAATGTTCAGATGTTTTCCTTCTCTAGCCGGTCCCCGTCTTAAAATTGAAAAAGTTCATCCTTCAAACAATGGGAGGCCCAGGGTGCGATCTATGGAATCTATGGCTGTTACGCTGTTGGTGACTAAGGTGATACCACAAGTTGCACGGCACAGCCTACAGGAATCATCACGAATCTTTATACTGTATATATATATATATATGCCATTACAGGTTGTCATCAAGAATGCTCAAAGAAAGCAACCTTCAGGGTCATGGAAAGCGGGGCGACTGCTGTGGCTTCATGACTTCCGTTAGGGCTCTGCGTCTCCGCACTCAACCATGCCCAAAGCCAACTGCAGTCAGCCATCATGCATTTCCATTCCTCCCATTCAGCAGCTTGCTTCATGGATGATCCGGAGCTCTTGGCAGCCGTTGTGGTGCATATTTCCTAAGAAGAGTTGGCGCACAAGACTTGCTTCCAAATTGTCTGGCGCTGCCTTAAAGACTTTCAGACTTTGTATTGAATTACTGTATCTGAGAAAAGTTCAAAAAAGGGGCTCACCGGGCATTTCTTCTCATCTCAGTTCATCAACAGCGCTGACTTGCGCCTGCCCAAGACTGGCAAAGATCTGGAGGTACGAAGTCCTTTGCAATGTTCTCCATCCTTGAATCTCAACTCCACAAAAGTGTTTCTCACCAGCATCTCCAGCTCATCATAGAGTTTAGGAAGTTCTGGGTATGGAATTTTGGCGGCTGTGGGTGGCGAGAAGGTATCCAGCGGCCGCTCAGATCCCGTGCTGGAGATCGACACATCACGAATGAATCCTGCTGATGTGCTCTCTACACCTTCCCAGGTCACCTGTCGGCTCAGAGAGTCTGCACCCTCAAAGTCCTCACCATCTGCTGCTTTGTCTTCCTCCACCTTGGAAAGCCCCACGCACACCCCAGGCGTCACCTCTGCTTTGCGCAGCAAAAGCTGCAAAGCGGCTTGTTCGTGCAATGTTTGTTGCAAACAAAACGTCTTCTGGGTCTGTTCTGCTGATGACATTTCAAGGCCCTCCTGTTCTGCTTTTCCTGGCCTGCCGATCTTGGCTGCAGAGCCCGGGCGAAGTTCCCGCTTGCCATGTGCGAACTTGCACTTGCGGCCAAGCGCACAACGCCCAAGCTCTAGAAAACCTGCACAGAGGCGCGTCTTGGAGAAGTCGGGTTGTTGGCGTAGTTGGTCCATCCCATGTGCAAAGGAGCACCCCTCACCACGCGTGCATGCACCGACTTCGAAGAACCTGCAGAGTTGTGTCTTCTTGTGCGCCGCCAAGCGTTTGGTCTCTTTGTCACCGTCGGAACTCATTGCCGGCACACGAAGTCTCAAGCCTTGTTTCTCACCCGGTTGAGCCACAAATGCTGGCAAGTATGCGGCTAATTCCTGACCATCTTGTCTGCAGTCCTGATGCAGCAAGTAGCTACCACGAGGCTTTGCATGACGACCGACCTCTCATCTTTGTGTGATTTGTTACGACAGTCACCTCTTTCAGAAAAGAGTGCAGAAAGCATATCAAAAAATGCTGGGGAGAGAATGAGAGAGAGAGAGAAAAAAAAAAACATAAAGAAAATCTCTTCGGAACACTCCGCAGCAAAAGCTAAGGAACAAGTGGACGACACTCTAGGGTAAGGCGAGGGGCTAGAACAACATGCAAGGCAGAGAAAAGCAAAAAGGATGAAGTATGAAGTGCACACACACACGAGAAGAGAACAAAACGTGTTTTTCAAACAACAGCTGGGCATGGGTCTGCTGATGACAGCGCAAGCAACCTGGTATGCTATTTCTCTGCTGGTCCGGCCGGCCGGCCAGATCGGCATGATTTTTGTTTGTCTATGGGCCCGGCTAGCGACTGTAGCAGAAGTGGTAGCAACCTGCAGTAAATATAATAGAAGTAGCAGTAATTAAATGAAAACAAGTAATAGTAGTGGCCGCCGTTGTCGTAGTAGTAGAAGTCGTCGTCGAAGAAGTATAGTCGCAGTAGTCGTCGTAGTAGTGTTGGCAATAATAGTCGTGGTAGTCACGCAAAAGGTAGGGGCCGGCCGGGCGGCCCGGACCGTGATAAGCTCGCAATGTGGCAATAAAACGGTGGCAACATATGGCATGTAGCGTGGCATTTGTGAATGGAAATGCGAGGTTTTGCAAGTCTATTTCAACAAGTGGTGTGCATGTGCGTGTGAGTGTGTTCACTAGACTCTTGTCAAAAGTGTGGAACACAGCAATACGTCAGTGTAGCACACGTGCCGACATATGTGCGTGCATGACAACAACACAACAAGCATCTATCGGGAAATCTCTTCCGGAACCGGCTTTGGAGCCCGGCGGCAAGTTATCACGACATGTCGTGCCACGCCCGCAAATCACTGTAACAAGCTGAATCATGCCAGCGTATCTACACGTCAATATACCACAGCACTTCTCAGAAGGAAGTCTGACATGCTAGCTGTTAGCTGGTTTGACAGCATGGTAGCCTCCGACATCTGCTCAGGAACTTGCTGGCGAACTTGCTTGGGAACTCGCTCCAGCACCTGCGAAACTTGCTCCGGAGCCTGCTCCGGAACTCCGAGACCTGGCTTCGTTCAGCCAGCCAGGAGTCAACGTTTGTGAAGACCCGGCCAAACAATAAACCAAATCACAACAGCAAAACAAAGCACGATACGAGAGACAGTGAGACAATCAACGATGTTTACATATAGATCCATATAGTACAGCAAATAATCCCGAGTACCTATTAATAAACACTCCCCAATTAAAAACACCACGTCCGAACCCCTAAATTTGGTTTATATTTGCTTTTAAATTGCCGCCCTTTCAAGCCGCTACTAAACTACCAACATGGTCGATTTTGGTGGTAGTTTTTTTATTAGGTTCCAAAACAACCGTAACTGCCCACCTCTGTCCGCCCTGTCTATCCACCATGACACGCCGCGCTTACACCAGCAGGCTTTCCTTCCCCCAATGGCACGGACTCACGCAAACGCACTTGCCACCGAGGTCATGCAACACCGCATGGCACAGCGACATCACCTTTCGAAAGCTTTAGCTGTTAGTCTACTGAAGAATAACTATTCTAATGAAGGTTTTTGTAGGGGAAAAAGGAAGACCCTTCGATCTGGAGCTTTTTTGCATTTTTGATACGAGGTTAATAAAGGATTTTATAAAAAACTTTACGGATTTACTTTTTGGTTTTGAAGCTCTTCCCAGGTGATCCTATTTTGGACCCCCCGATTTCAGGGACCCCCTATTAGAAAAAATGCGACCGAGGTTTTTTTAATTAGGGGGGGGGGCGTGTTTATTATTAGGGGGACTGGATTACTCAAATGCTTCCCTGAAGAATGCTAGCACAGAGTCACAGAGTGCTTCTTTTTTTCGTGAAGGGTGCATCGAGGCTATATAATTTCCCGTAACAATGGACTGACCAAGTTGCGGGCGGACAGAGTCAAGAGAAGATTGGCGTCCGACTCGTTTCAATGATTGCCAAAACTGGTTTCAAGAATTCAGCCCTGAGATTGAAAAGTTCCTGCCACAGTATGGGGAGACGCTCGACTGGTACCGCAATATTCTGCAGGATTTTAGCTTGATCATGGAGCGAGACTCCTGCTGGGTGGTTGCTTGCCTATAGCTTACAGGATCGCAGGGATTTCCATGGATTTCGGCAAGTGGCCTGAAAACCTTGATCTAAGATCGGGCGTTTTAAGAGCGCCTACTCAGGCCGTCCAAAGTACCTTAGAAATGGGAGATGGCCCCATAAAAACATGTACTTGCACCCATTTGTTGAGGGACTTTGAGACACCATGTAGGTCAAAAAAACACGGAGGGGAGCAAGCGAACGTTGCACAAACAATAATCCACAACATGATGAGGCATGTTGCTTATTGCTTCGCTGATTAATTACAGGGCAGACGGCGTTACTATGTACCTAAGCAATGGTCGCCCAACTTTTGCAATCCAGGGCTAGGGTGCTCTCACCCAAAATGCCTTGCCGAGCCTTGCCGCTGACTAGATGTTTGTTCCCGGCGAGATGTTCCCCTGGCAGTGTGGGCGCGGGTCGCGTGAGAAAACGGCCATGTTCGGCTTCAGGGTCGAGATGCCATACTTTCAGCGCATTGTAACTTTTTGCTGAATTCCAGAAGCAAATGTTTTGTCAGTCCAAATCACTGTCATGCGTTTCCTGCGAATTCCCTCGAACTCCTGCGAGCCCCCGCGAACTCCTGCAAACCCCTGCGAACTCAGTGCGATGGGGCTGCGACGTTCCAATTTGCATGTTATTCCGACAGGCTTTCAACCCTGATACTGTACTTTCAGCATGCCTTTTCACATGAAGTCAGCTCGAGATGTATGCTCAAACTCTCCGCTCAATGGACATAACGTGAAAAAAGTAAAAAAAATATTGTGTAAAGATTTAGCAGAAACAATAAGCTACTAGGAACAAGTGCATCGCTACTAGTAACAAGTGCCTTACTAGTAGTAACAAGAAAAAACTCCAGCGAACTCCGGGGAACTCCAACGTACCGAACTCCGACGAACCCCGGTGATTTCCGCGACGAACCCCCCCAGCAAACTCCGACGAATTTCCAACTACGTATATCTTTTTCATTCTTTTTCGGACTTCCAACTTCCAACGGCTAGGAGCTTGCTCAGTTTTTGGAAAGCATGTCCCTCATGGACCTCACGGCCCACCGCTTAACCCGAAGGTAGATCAACCGCCAACTGCGACAATCCAGGCACATTGTGCAACTGAGATGGTGATTAGTGTTTCGCCGAGTTCTTGAAGGCAGCATTGTTGGCAGTCGTTGAAAAGCTGGGCGCCCATCTTCCTTCTTTTTTTGTTCGCCCGCAGCCTGGTCAGCCCGTGCTGCGGGAAACAAGCCACCCAGTTGGTTGCTTGTCAGTTCGTGGTTGCGCTCAAACTTCTCAGTGTAGTAGCTTGCCTGTTGAAACGTTTTATAGACTATGGGACTCGGGGAACAGAGAAGAAGTCAGCAGCAAGTTCACTTGGTTAGTGAAGGCTGGGCATACCTTGGTTTGCAGAGAAACTTACGGGTGTTTGTTGGGTACATAGCCTTCTGGTAGGTCATTAGGCAAAATGACACATGGCGTTTATTTTTCCATAGCGTTCGCGTGCTTTGTGTTTCCCTGCCTGGTTTTTGAACCCAAGCGCTTTAAGTTCTCATGTTCAGCTTTTCTGCTTCTGGTCAATCCTTGCAATCCTTGATTCAAGGTTTTTTGGTCCCGTTCATTTTTCACGCGGAAAATCATGAAAATCCCTGCGAACCCGTAACGCTCACGAAAAAAAGAAGAAACTGACTGCGAGCGCTTGCTTTTGCTCGTTCCAGCCATTGTAAACTGGCCAGTGTTGCTTCGACCAGATTGCAGGAACAGCATTGGTGGGCGTGGCAAGCCACAATCCCTAAACACAATAAACTTCGGGCTACAGGTAGCACCAATCAGCATCAAATAAACAGTGTTTAGAAAGGATGCAGACTAGTCACTAGTCATGACTAGTTGAGTTTTAGTTATATGTGTGCTTCTCATGCTTCACCACTCTATTCAGCTTCGTGCCCGCCACGGAATTTTGGGTCTGAGACTTGTGAGACCCAACTTCTCGCGCAGCGCCTTCAAACATCTGGCGCGCGCTCAAGCCGTGCATGGCCATTCGCACGCCCCCTGGCCCAAGAACTTTGAACTTGCAGAATGCTTTTGAAGGTTGAGCGAGATGCATCTACTTGAAGCCTGACTCGAGATTCCCACATGGTAACTAAAACTCTTGTCAGGTGAGTTGGGCTATACTCTTTTATGGTGCTAACTGTGAAGAGTGTAACCGACAAATGCATGCCTCCCCAAAAACCATGAACAATTTAGAATCTATAGAAGCAATCGTGATTCTTCCAGCTGACTCAAGTTGTACATGAATGATTCTTGATGATTCTTGGCAATTGGCGATTTGTTCCGAGTCAAAACCAGGAACAACAGGGGCAAGTTGCACTATAATTGGGCCAAATTTTGAAAAATGGTCACAAAAAGTTTGGGTTGGGATCTGTCACGATTCCCCTGTACAAATTGCGGTCCCAAGCTCAGGCAGCCTGTCCCAATGCCTCAAAATTTGGTAGTGACTGGCACTTTCGCAAGATCCCTTCCTCCTTGTCATCCTCCACCTCAATAAATGTATTCCTGATGCGAACTTCCCAACCACAGTGAGGCAATGTCACCGGAGCATAGGATGTCTGGAAGTGAGCCTGTGAAATATCGGAGGCGTCGGATGAACAGCGGCTGAAATGAGCAGACGAGGTCTCCACTCCTTCACACGTTGTTTGCCGACTGAAGGAAGAGTTGCCATCACAATCCCCCTTCCATCCCAAAGCTGATTGAAAAATCAGCTTCAATGCCGCCTGCTCGTAGCCGGATGAGCCATAGGGAATGAAATAGTTTTCGGGTTCGGCGAACTTTGTTTTGTCCTTCTGCGCGCGGGATTTAGTGGATCCTGGGCGCAAATCCTGCTTGCCATGAGCAAACTTGCAACGGCTCCCCTTGGCACAAAATCCGTCCATAAAATCCGCACAAAGCCTGGCAGGGCTTTGAAACGAAACACATCTGACCTCTAAAGTTGCATGATGACCCCATTGATTCCCGGCAGCTTAAATTCAGGCCTGGTCTTGGAGAAGTCAGGCTGTTCCCGCAAATGGCCCATACCATGTGCAAAAGTGCAAGCTGATCCCTTGGCGCATGCCCCAATGGCAAAGAACTTGCACAAACGGGTCCTTGGCACAAGTGTGGGCATCTCTTCGGTAAAAAACATGGAGCCCCCTCGCAAGAATAAACCTGACGCAATGATCACTAGGCTAAGGGATGTTGAGAGCAGTCACACTTCAAACATTGCAGTCACGACTGGAGGTTCTCGGAGGGATGCGTTGGTAGTGGTCTCATAGCACAGTCGTGTTCGCGGGGCCACTGGGGAGAAGGTTGAAGGCACATGTATTCATGGTTGTCTCAGCCATTCATTTGCGAGAACATATTTTACTTATGTTCAGGCTTGCCAAGTGATGAGGCGTATGGCGTATGTGTTGGATGGATGCAAACTGCTTGGAACCTCCGTCCTTCCATTGGGACATTGTAACCACCCACAAGATATGAGCACCTAATCATACCTAATCACGCTACATCACGCTACACAATCAGGTTCAGCAAAGGCTCTGCTTGTGTGCAGCCAAACGCTTGCCTTCCTTCGCTAGCATCACGTCAAGGCCAAGGTCGCTAACAATCGGGCGCCAACAGTTTGAGCTGATTGGCTGATGGCACAGAAAGTTGAAAGAGTAATTTCATGTGAAGAACTTGCATGCCGAATAGGTGACTCATGGTGATTCCAACTTGAGGATTGAACCTAGGTAGATTTGGCACACCACAGCAAAATCACAAAAAGCTTGACACAAACCTGTCAAATTCAATATCCCCAAGTTGAATCCAACACAAAAAAGGAAGCGCATGACCAACCTGCATTCGAGGTATCTCCAAATCCGTGCAAAACACGTTGCCTCAGCTGGTCAAATCCAGCGGCCTCGGCGGCCTCAGCCTCATAACCTGCCCTCCCTCACTCACTCACTCACTCACTCACTCTTTCTCTCTCTCTCTCTCTCTCTTTCTGTCTATCTCTTCCCTCTCATCTTAAGTCCGTCGACGCTAAAGGAATGCTCTCCTCCGGTGACCTGCACAAAGTATCATTTTCCAAAAGATATGGCAAAAGTGCGAGCAATGTTATTGCAAAGCTGATTGAGGCGCTTGCGTGAAGCCCATCTTGTAGCCTCAGCTTCTGTGATGGAAAGTCGCGATGTTAACTGTCATGGAAGAACTGAGTCTATGACCGCAAGACACGTTCCTTGGGTCGTGCGCACGTCGCGCGCCAAGCGTTATGAAATATTGGGTGCTCCCCTTACTGTGGATCGGCATTTAAAAAGGGAAGGAGCGAAGCTCTGGCATATTATCAAGAGCATCCCGACCAAAGACGTTGGTAGATTGGTAACAATTTTGGTGGATCATTATGGTTGCATGACAAAACAATCTATGAACATCACGCTCCTGAAACCGGTGCGTCTTCAGGGCAAATCGTTCAGCTCAGCTTCCGATGCGTCTCAGTCTCAGCCTCTGCGCTGCGACCTCCCATGTCCACATGCAATGCCGCCCAAGGTAGAAAGCCTCAAGATGTGCGAGCTCAAGCTGAAAGGTCAACGAGCTTCCTGATTCTGCACATTGCATGGCCTTCAGCCTTCATGTTGTTTCTTAGTTTCAGGTGGCAATGACATGCCAAGCTACTTGCAGCTTCGAAGTTGACCCAGCATCATTCCACCAATTTCAACAGTTTCGCCGTACGCCTTTACAAGTCCATCTTTTTGGAGAATTCGGCTCCAGTTCTGCCAATGACCGGAACCAAGGAGCTGTTGCGGCAAGCAACCAGGTTGTATCTGCGCACAGGGATCGGCCGCATTGAGCGGTTGGGGACACGCCCTCAAAACCTTCTTTGTGTGGGGGCGCTTGGGCAGCCATTCTCTTTTAGCTGCTGCACCGTTGTGACCGTGTCTTCTCTTGATATGACTGCCACTGGCACTGCGGTCATGATGTTTGGTAGGTTGTTGGCATAGCAGGGCTGCACCATCACCCCTGTCACCCAAGTCCACGAAGCCCCACCTTGGCATGTTAATGCCTTGCTTCGGCGTGTTTGCTGACAAGAAGGCCAGTTCTGGTGCTCCAGAGTCACCGGCCTCAGAACATCTCCCTGTAGGTTTGACCAGTGCTTTGCGGTGAATCTTCTGCTAGGGGCGCGGCGGAACAACTCTGGTGAGCCTGGGGTCAAGCTGAATTGTTCTCCCAATGTTCCTCTTCTGTATAATAACATCTAATTACAAAAAAGAGGGAAAGAAAAGAATAAAAGGTCTAGAGGCTAAAGAGAAAAACGAAAGGACAGAAGATGAAGAAGATATATAACTTAACACAATATAGTAGCGTCTGCTTCTGGCATAGACCGCAGCCTCTGGACACTCAGTGTAGTTGTACTGAGGAGCTTCCTTGGTATTGCACGGATCTGGTTCTCTTGAATTGTCAAATCGGTCAGAAAGCGCTCACCCTGGCAACTGGTCAGGGCGTTTCACATCGAAGTGTAGAACTCAAACGGGTCCACTGCAGGCATGTTTCAGCAGAGCTCTTTTTGACCTTGGCTGCTTGGTGATGCTTTTTTGCAAGCTCTGCATGAAAGACTTAAGAACTGCATGTCCCTCACCAGGTCCCCACTGCATGTCATGTCACCTACCAAATCTACCAACAGCACAACCTGTTCTTTTCTCAGCTTGGCCTTAAAGCCATTGGTCTCATTGGTCTTGCTTGTGGACCAACGAGTTTAAAAAGTGGGAGCATCAAGATATACCGTGACCTTCGGCACCGATGATCAAAGCTGGAAGCTTGGAGTAGACTTTGAAATCTCGAGTTCCTCCGGATTCATGTCGGCACTGATGGATGCAAACAATGGTGTGGACAAGTATCGCTCACCTGTGTCTGCCAACATCGCCAGCAACACGGAGCCCTCAGGGGCCTTTTTGGCCATCTCGACTGCTGCATACATCGAGGCCCCTCCAGAAATCCCGGTGAAAATGCCCTCCGACTTAGCTAGTTGCTGAGACATTTGGATGGCTCCATCACCAGGAATTGGTACAAATTCGTCATAACCGGTGCTTGCAATGCCAGCCTCGGTGATCAAGGGAATAAAGTCCGGTGTCCATCCCTGGATGGGATGTGGCTTGAAAGCCGGATGGGAGCCGGTGGCCGAGCCATCTGGATTACGTTCACTCTTCTGGCCAGAGGCAACTAGAGGAGCATCAGCAGGCTCACCCAAACAAATCTTGATGTCCGGACGCTTTTCCTTCAATGCCTTGCCAGCACCGCTGAAGGTGCCGCCCGTACCATAGCCCAGCACATAGTAGTCCAGTTTCATGCCAGCAAAATCGTTCAAGATCTCCTGCCCGGTGGTATCATAATGAAACTGGGCGTTGGCCTCATTCTCAAATTGCCGGCACAGAAACCACCCATGTTTTTCGGCCAGCTCCCTTGCTTTTGCAACCATGCCACTGCCCTTCCCTGCTTTGGGTGTGATGATCACTTTTGCCCCCAAGAATCGCATGAGCTTTCGCCGCTCGATGGAGAAGGGCTCCGCCATGGTGATGACACACTTGTAGCCGCGCTGTGCACACATCATGGCCACTGCGATGCCCGTGTTTCCTGAGGTCGCCTCAATGACCGTGTCCCCAGGCTTTAGCTTTCCTGTCTTTTCGGCATCCTCAATGATCGCGCAGGCCAAACGATCCTTCACAGAGGACAGTGGATTAAAATATTCCAACTTCGCGTAGATCGTGCGACCTTGGGGGCAAATGGCATCTGAGATTTTCACACAAGGAGTGTTGCCCACTGTCTCGGTAATGTTCGCATAGACCCGGCCACGGCCTTTGCCACGGTCGCTCAGGCCAGTGGCGGACGAGCCGGAGACTCCCATGGTGCGAAACTTTCTAAACTTTCTATATACTCTCCAAGTTCTCCAATCAACTTGAGCCGTACACCATGCCATGGTCGGGTCGGGTTAACATGATCACAAAGAACCATAGAGCTAATCGAACATGAAACAAAAGGTGGACAAGTAAATGGGGACCCGTGGGATTATTGTGGGAGCACCAGTGCTTATGATTGTCCATGGGATGGCCTGATTGAGTGGTCGAGATTGCTGGGACTTGCTGGGATCGAGGCCGGAGGCCATGCGCCATAGTCAAAGGGAAGCTCCTCCTCGTCCACTCTTAGATTGCAGTCGCCGGTGTATTCGATGCCTACCTGCAATGAATCGTGGCCCCAAGGAACATAACGTCGGTCTACTGTTACGAAGCAATTTGAGAGCACGTCTGAGCGACTGTCTGAGGGTTGTCAGGCAATTTTTTCTCAACTGTCGAAGGATGGAAGTCAGAGTCATATTCCAATCAAGGTAGCCACTGGAAGCAAAGCGACTTGCAGCGCATGCACCTCTTGTACAAAGCACCGAGCTTCCTCCCAGCGCTCTGCCGACCAGCGCATAAGCTCCTCCTGAGAGCTGTTGGTCTTGATACGGCTGCAGACCTGTAATATCCTGTAATGAACCACGGGATTAAAAAGCTCCATGGTCCCCGATTTCGGCTTTCAACCGGTTTCTTAGCACTCGGGTGCCTGTAGCTAGGACCTGCGAACTCTGCCGCTAGCCCGTCAATGCTTGGATGTCCGGCCTGGTCCCACTCCTGAGTCCTCTGCCGGCCCGATAGCCCGAAAAGCCTGGAGGCTCAACCATGCTGACCGCTTCATAAACGAAGGAGTCTCGCAAGAAAGAGGTTTGGCCCAATACATTGTGGCCGAGTGTCAGTGCTGCGGCTGCGATGAGGAAAGTGATCCCTCATGGCCACAAAACATTGCACAAACAAGCATGCCAAGTTTCCACAATCACAACCTCTGAGCCACTGGGCCACTGACCAAGAGCAAATATCTCTCGAGGGCTCAAAAGCTCCTGAAACGTTGTAGTCCAGCTGGACTAAAATCCAGCTGGACTAAAACCTTTCCAATTCATGCCTGCTGCCAAGACTCGAGTAGGAAAGGGCAGCAAGCATAGCAAAAAGCAGTGAGCCTGCCCTTGGCCATGCATGCCTCGGCACAAGGCTGATCCAGAACCCCATGTCCGCTCTAATTCTGAGGTTGTAGGTCATGACACACTCCTTCAATATGACAACTACATGTAACAATGAAATTAGGCCAAACTGCTTGAGCTTCTGGTCGTCGTTGACGCCAACATCCAATCTCAACTTTGCGGAGTAAAGGTGTTTTGCTGGCCCTTTGCACTGCACCCACTTAATGAAAGCAACATCTTGCAAGGTCCCTCAAGCGAATGAAAGTAACAAAAGAAACCAACTTGAGGCGTAATATGGCGTAATCGTATTCCTGAAGCGGTCCCGCAAATTTCTGCTTTGTATTGACTTTCGTTGCCAGAACCATGACTTACAATACCTTGCAGCTGTGCTCTGAAGCTGGACATGGCAGGCAGTGTTGGTTTTGATGCAGCTCCAGCTAAGCCAGGTGGCTGCGAAAAAATGGATAAGTTTTAAAATGCAACCAAAGTTAGACGCTAGGAGCCTCTGGTTTGGGCGATTGTGTGCCTCTGTGTTCCCACTTTCTGGAAGTGACCAACGGCGGTAAAATCAATTCTCCAAAACCATAGGCCTCCTGCGCTGTGTATGCTTTCGGCATGTCGGGTCAACATCGCCCCTGCATGCGGTGTCTCCATCTTGTCTCACGTTGTTGACCTGAGGGGTCGGCCTCGTGGACCCGTCGACGCCTTCAACGTTTGCTCCCGATTGTGGCGTTGGGTGCGCGTGCTGCCTCCGAGCTCACAGCCCAAGCCGTCCTCGCTCACTGTCGGCAGTTTTCTTTGTAGGGCCCCTCGCGCCCAGTGCCACCGACCCCCCAAAAAGGGTGGTCCTAGTGCTTGGGGGGGGATCTCTCGGTGAGATTGTAGCCACAGACCCTGTTGCTTTGAGATGCCTCGTGCGATCCGGTTAGTCATCATCGCTGACAATGTCCCAAACAAGGCATCCTTTCAAGAGTTTGTTGTCTGTGTGAAGCCCTTGGAATCACAGGGGTCCGTTCGGCTAACTTTCAGTGCAGGGGGCAGTAGCCCGCTCATGAGCCTACTGCCAACGAAGCTGCTCATGAATTGGGAGGATATTGGAGCTGATCACTCCGACGTACCTTCATTCCAGTTTGCGGCGCTTTCACGCTGTTACTCCAAGTTCCCAGTAAAAGGTTAATGCATTCTGCAAATGTGAGCGTCCGTCGTCATTTTGTCCTGTTCGTCGCTTCGTGGTTTCTGGACTCTGAACCTTTGGCAATGACCAGCGATGACGTCCAGGATGCTCAGAATCCCCTACGTGTTTTCTTAAGGAACCTTTGTTCACCTAGGCAGCCGTGTGGCATGAAGCATTCACTTCAGTACGGTCTTTTTCCCGGGCGTGTCTGGCCTTCGTGCCAGCCCAGGGTGAGCCAACGGAGTGCCCCCGTGGCCCCGTTGAACGGGGGTTGTCCATGTCCCTGCACCGGGACCAAAGTAGCCCACAGCGCACGAAGGAGCCTTAGAGCAAAGGTCAACGAAGACCTGCTGAGTTACCGGCCCTGGGTCGCCTTAGGGCATCCACAGCGGACTAGGCAGGCTTAACGCCACGAGTAGATCTCTCAAGGCCCAGTGGGGCCTGTCGGAACCTGATGTGCACACACAGCGTCTACACTAAAAACCAGGCTAGGTCCTCTTAGGTCTTAGGTCCGCCTTAATGAGGTTTGGGTTCGTTGTTTTTTGGCCCCTCCATTTGGTTCCCCTTTCATCCTTTCCCCTGTACACACACTTTCTTCCTTTTTCGTATTTTGTTTTCATGTCTTCTCCGCCTTCATGTCCTGTCATCTCATTTTTTGCCTTCTTCTGCGCGCACATCGGCCCACAGTTACATCCAACCCAGGTTTCAGGTCGCCCAAGTTTTGATAAGGAGGTCTGGCTCACCGGTTGTCCCTGTTCACTTGGTTTTCCGTTCATTGCCACCCCACACACACTTGTATTGCCTTGTCTCCTTCTCATGTCTTCGTCTTTTTCCCTTTTTGCGCGCACACGCGCTTCAGTCTGTCCCTCAGTTTTTGACCCTTCATGCGGGGCGTGCGTGTGAGACCCTTGGAGTCACACACGACTGTTCGGTTAACTTTCATTGCATGAGGCAGTAGCCCACTCATGAGCTGCTCATGAGTTGGGAGGATATCGGAGGTGATCACTCCGACGTACCTTCATTCCAATTTGCGGCGCTTTCATGCTTCTTTTTGTACAATACGACATACTTTAGAGCAGGGGGAGGAGCACCATTGCAAGCCTCCTGCCAAAGAAGGCACTTGCAAGTGGTGGTGAAACCGGACCTGATCAGTCTGGCGTACCTGCTTTTGAACACATTGACATTATTGACACCACTGGTCCGCCCTCGCCTCGTTCAGGCTGTTTTCAAGTTTTTCAGGCGTTGTAAAGTGCTACTGGGTTCTGCAGACTTGCACGGATCGTCGTCACCTTGTCACTCGCTCGCTCGATGACTTGATTTCAATGTGCTGTTCAAGATGATCAATTTGGTTGACCTCCATTCCATTTCAGGTTCTTTTGCCTGCGCTCTCATAGGAATCTGGTCACTTAGGTTGCCGTGCACCGACTGGCTTTCAATCTCCGCACGCGTTTCCTATATGTGTGCGCGCGCTCTCGACATGAGACATGGTCAGATCAAGCCCTTCAATCATCCGTGGCATCTGGCTCATGCGGTGTTCCGGATTCGTTGGTGTTCCTGTTTGGTCTGGTCTTCATGGTGCTTTTGTGAGGGGCTTTGTGGCGCAAGTATAGTGGCGGTCTTTTGGTTTTGTTGTCTGTTTGTCTCTCTCCTCGTTGTCTCGCAGCCAGTTCTTCAGTCCAGTATATGCGTTACCTTTTGGTTGATGGTTTTGGGGGTTCAGCTGCGCTTACTATGTTGATATAAACTCACACCATACACACAAATAATCTTGGCAAACCGCGGGCGGATGATTCCAAACAAAGAAAAAACTTTGGGCACAAGCGCATCGTCTGGCGCGATGTTTTTCGCGGATGCCTCTGGTTTCTGTGTGGTCAACAGGGACACACACTGCACACGAAAGATTCATTAGAATCCAAACGGATGTACATCTCACAGGCCTGTTCTCCTGCACATTCAAAACACTGTTGTGGACTTTGCACTTCGTCCACGCGCAGCTTCTTTACCCGCCCAGAATGATACATCTTCGGGTTGTACGTTGCATTGCGCATAGAGCCAGCTATAGCCAGGAACCACACACACAAAAGCAAGGTTCACTTCTCTCGAATCCTTTTGCGTCTCCGCGCGAAGCTGGTTCCCGCAAAAGGCGCAGTGATTGCTTGGATCCCTTTCTTGCCTTTCGATTGGGGCTTCCAACGCCATGTTTTCTTTGAAGCTTCCAAATCGTCATCATCCAACGGACATTGCGCCTCAAACATCATTTGGGTCTGGCATGTGGCCGCGCACCAACAATTACCCCCCGACCAGCGACACGTCGCGTTCACACACACACACACTTAGATAGAGAGCTCAAGTCAATAAGCAGAATTTCAGAATTTCAATCATTGGCTCACCGCTCACTGGCCCTTTACAGTCTAGTTAGTGCAAGAACGACCTCAAAAGACCTGGCAATGGCCCTGTACTCAACGGAAAGGTGAGAAGAAGTCGGCAACAACAAAGTTTAAATCATTGACCCGAGAGAAGATGGATATGGCCACCAGCTGCGTCTCCAGGTGCACCAACGCAGGTACGTTTTCACAGGAAAAGTGCAGCGTCTTCGCTGGTGACTGCACGGATCCCCAGCGACACCCTGCTGAATGAGAAGCCGCTGTACTCAGTTGAGTGTGAAACTCTTAGATACAGAGTGGGACACACACACACACACACGTGGCGCGCGCCGGCGCTCGGTCATAGTTTTTTCCGAAAAGAAAGCGCCTACATTCGCTCGCGGAGTGGCCTTTGCTGATGTACA